TTTCTGATGAAGGGTCTAGGCCCAAAACGTCAGCCTTTTTGCTCCTGTGATGCTGCTTGGCCTGCTGTGTTCATCCAGCTCTGCACCTTGTTGTCTCTAATTTTCTGGGAACACAGGTTTGAATCCCACTATGACAAATGGTGGAATTTGATTGTATAATATTCTGGAATTAAGAATCTAATGATGACCATGAATCAGGAAATACTATCTGGTTCACTAATGTCCTTTAGGGAAGGACATATGACATCTTTACCTGGTCTGGCCTACATTTGATTCCAAATCCACAGCAATGTTGTTGATTCTTAACTGCCCTCTGGGCAATTAGGGATGGGCAATAAATGCTGGTCTAGCCAGTGATACTCACATCGTATGAATGAATAGAAAAGAGAGGTCAGAGGCTTGGAATCATGCGGTGAATAATTCACCTCCTGACTGCCCACATCTTGTCCACCATCTACAAAACACAAGTTGGGGGTGTGGTGAAATACTCCCCATTTGCCTGGATGGGTGCAGCTCCAAGAACATTAAAGAAGCTTGATACCATCCAGGATAAAACAGCCTGCTTGTTTGGCACACCATTGACCACATTCAACATTTCCTCACAGCTGGCACTCAGTTGCAATGGTAAGTACCATCTACAAGATGTACTACAGCAACTCACCAATCTTCTTCCATAGCAGCCTCCAAACCCACAACCTGTACCCAGGACAAGGGCAGAAGATACACTAGGACACTGCATGACTTCAATTTCTTCTCTATGCTGCACACCATCCTTACTTGGAACTAGATTGCTGTTCTCTGTCCCTGGGTTAAAACTCTCAAATTCTCTTGCTAACAGTAGCTTGGGTGTACCTATTTGATATGGTTTGGGTTAAGGTTAAGTTCCACCACCTTCTCATGGCAATTAGGGATGGGGAATAACTGCTGCCCTTGCCAGCAGTGCCTATATCCTGTGAACAAATAAATTAAAATAAAACAACCTTGCGTCACAAAAGAAAAAATTGCTTCATGGTCTCTACTGAAGAGACTATGCCTGAAGACCACTAGGTACTTCTCTGTGGTACTCAGTTCCTGGTTCTGGGTTAAGCAGCAGTTGACATGGGGAATGCATCAATTAATGTGAATTGGCAGGCTTTTTTTAAAACTTTAAACCAGGCAGGTTGACTGACTTCGATTGGTCAGGGGATTACCTTGAGGAATGAACTAACCAGTGGCTGTCAGCAATTTTGTTGGATCTGAAACAAGCACATTGGGTGTGCGTGTTCTTTCTGTCTAAAAGAACATTGCCGTATGTATTTGCCACAGCTCCTTAGACAATACTGTCCAAACCCATGATCTTTCGATTTCGAAGGACAATGGGCAGCAGATGCTTGGAAACATCACCACCTGCAGGTTCCCCTCCAAGCCACTTACCATCCTGACTTGGAAATATATTGTTGTTCCTTCACTGTTGCTGAGTCAAAATCCTGGAACTCTCTCTCAAACAGTAATATGGAATACATCACTACTTTGTGTAAGCTTTCCCAGTAATTTTATCCTGGAGTCTGGTGTTATTCTGATATAAATATTCATCAATTCCTCTGAGGCCATCGTATCCTTTTTTAAGTTATGATGCACAGAACTATTCATAGAACTCAAAGTGCAACCTAACTTGGGCTTTCTTTAAGTGAAATATAACTCCTTGTATTTTAATACTCTAGGATATAAAGGCCAGCATTCAATTGTGGAATTTAAATTCAATCAGCAAATCTGCAATTGAAATCTAGCCTCAATATTAGTCACCATGAAACTATCTTTGTGGTTCCCCAATGCCATTTAGTGGAGGAAATCTGCCATCTTTACCTGGTCTATCCTACGTAGAACTCCAGATCCACAGTAATGTGGTTGACTCATAACTGTCCTCTGTAGTGGCCTTGCAAATCATTCAATTCAAAGGGCAATTAGGGATGGGCAACAAATGGCAATCTCCATACCCCATGAAAGAATAAAGTAAGGACTGAATGGGATGATCAGCTATTAAGAATGAGGACAGCATCTTGAAAAGGAGGATGATGAAGGTGAGGATTAGAAAATGATCCACATTTAGAAACTGTGCACAAGATTCTAAACATTATTACTACAATGAGTGATAACCAAAACCAAGTCTCTTTTAATTTGCATTGCCTCTAGCCTTTCACCATTTCAAAGTAGTCTGATCTGTTCCTTTTAGATCCAAAGTGGATGTCCTCACGTTTGCTGACAGTGAAATCCATGGGCCATATTTTTGTTTAATGCGCGTAATCCCATTGCAATTTTATACTTCCATCTACACTGCTTACAACGCCACCTATCTTTATGCCTAGCAAATTCGGATATGTGCCTTTCTCTTCCATCATGTGCTTCGATCAAGGCCAAGACACTTGGGGATGCGTACTGGATATCTTGCTAATGACATCCTCCCCCATGAATGAATAAACAAAACTATTAGGATCTGCTGGTTGAAGGCTGTACCAATGATAATAACTGAGGATGGAAGGGTCACAAATCTGATCTCTATGTTTTAAGCAACACACATGATGTGGAGGTGCCGGTGTTGGACTGCGATGGACAAAGTCAGAAGTGACACAACACCAGGTTATAGTCCAACAGGTTTATTTGAAATCATTAGCTTTCGGAGCGCAGCACCTTCATCAGGTG